AGGTTAGTGTTTGTTTGTTTCTGTCCGCCTTATCCTTATACATCGCACTAGGAATTTGAGCGTGCGTGAGGCGAAGACCATGTTGATCAACACTCTGCGCTGGCGTGACGAGTTCAATGTCGAGGCTGCCATGAAGGAAGAGTTCCCAAAGGATGTCTTCGACGGCATTGGCTACACCTTCAAGACGGACAAGGATGGCAGGCCAGTTTGTTACAACCTTTACGGTGCCATCAAGGATACCAAAGTTGTCTTTGGCGACGTTCAGCGCTTCCTCCGCTGGCGCGTTAAGCTTATGGAGGAGACTGTCCTCCAGTGTGACTTTGAGACGGTCGACCAGACTGTGCAGGTTCACGGTACGGCATCTGCTGCATCTTCCGTCAAAATGCCCACTGAAGAAATATAGATTACGAGGGCGTTAGCATGTCCAGCCGTGACGCCAACTCCAAGTCGGCCGCTTCAGAGGCATCCAACATCTTCAGCTCACATTACCCCGAACTCCTTTACCGCAAGTACTTCATCAACGTTCCCACCCTCATGTCCTGGATCTTCTGGGCATTCAAAGCTATCGTTCCTTCTGCAACATTCTCCAAGATGTCCGTCGTTGGCTCCAGCAAGCACGAAATCAAGAAGGTTCTTGGGGAGATTGTGGAGGTGAACAACCTGCCAAAGAGGTACGGCGGCGAGGCGGAGGCGTTCTGAATAAATGCAATGGCTGCAGGGAACCAAATGTAAATTTCAACTCTTGATGACACTTAGTCCTTTATACCGAGCTTTCTAATGAACGGAAACCAACTATCATCTTTGTGAGGGATTTTGTCCATGAAAGTTTCACTTATATTGTAGATTCCCTCAGCCACAAATGGGTGACTGTGGGTTGCTCATCGAAAAAGATACAAATCATTCAGCAGAGTAGTAAATTTGGTCTTGGTCGCCTGCGGCCTTCGCTCCCGTTCATGTGAACTGGTTCCATCGGTATCATTCCCAACATCTGGTTGTGACTCTGCTTGTAGATACGTCCATTGTTCAACATTGCCGAATAAGCAGATGCACCAGAGATAAGGATATTCTATCGTCTACTATTGCAGGAGTGTAACGAGTTTGGGTTTCAATAACTAAAGTACTCTGTGTTGACTTTCTCGAGTGGCACATGATCAATTTGATGGCATATCACGATCTCGTCGAACCAGCGTCAAGACTACGGTCAAGTAAGCTTAGGTTGATCATGAACCACCATGACCGAATTGAATGGTCGAAAACTCGCTAATCAACCCAGCTTCTCTGCCCTGCGATACGGCAGACGCTTCACCTTCTAGAATTTTGCAACTTCGAGCAGCGGATCACTTCTCAAATCGCAGGCGCTCTATGGGAATATCCGCCCGCCGTCTGTGGCAAGCATACTGATGTAAGTACTTGTTTTGCCGCTTCTCTAGCCTTTCTGACCCACCCAAAGGTCATCTCACTGCACCACTCCAAACGCTGGGCCATGACTTCTTACCGCAATTTCGAGCACTTGCAGGATATTTTTGCAAATGACGAGTCGGCAAAGCATGGTGTCAAGATGACCATGTCCAACTTTTTCTTTGACAGGAAGATGGAAGACACCATCGAGGCTGGATACCTCGCGAAATTCCAGGAGACGTTGACCCGCAAAGAGGCCGGTGTCACTTTCTTCTCACGCCTGGCTCTTACTAACCAAGCCCACCTATAGCTCAAGCGTGTCCGGCGCGACACTGCTATCATTAGCGAGCACGCGATCAACCAGCAGGCCAACGTGGTGGACGCATACCAACTGTTAGCACCTGCCATCGACACCGACAAGTACATGTTCTTTCTCTACGACGTCGTCACAGCAAAGGGCGGGATCTTTGAGACCCGGAAGATCACTGGAGACCTTCTGAACCAGGAGCAAGAGCTTCTCGACGAGTATGAAGCGGCTGCCATCATCAATGCGACTGGTGTTAATGTGCACGAAACGGCCGGCGACGAGAGCGTCTACCCCCTTCGCGGTGCACTCGTCCGGGTTATCAACGACGGTACACGTTTCCCCAAGGTCACCGATGCCCTGGCGGTCACTCACGACGATACCTACGGCACACCAGAGGATATGGTCTTCATTGTTCCCCGCAACGACAACATTCTCATCCTCGGCGGTATGTGACCTTTTGATTTCGTAATCGTATACGTAGCTCACTGGTATACAGGTCTTGTCCAGCCAAAGGAATAGGAACTCGACCTGACTTTGGCGAGCCCTGAGATTGTAAGGATGCGCGAGCGCTGCAACAACTTCGTCTTTGGCCTCGAAAATGCCGAGTATGACCCCGATGCCCCGCTTGTGCAAGGCCTACGGCCGTTCCTTGGCTCAAATGTTCGCGTCGAGCGTGTGTTGCGGCAACGCGCTGATGGAAAGACCAGCAACTATCGTGCACTCTTATGGACAAGGCGGCTCTAGATTTTCACTGTCCTACGGCTGCGCAGGCGACGTTTTGGACTTGGTACAGGAGATTGAGGATGGCGTTGCACCAATGAAGATGTCGAGGATTATGAAGGCAAAGGCGGAGACCCAGGCTCAAGCAGCACCTGTAGCATGAATCGGGCAAGCGTATTAATACCAGAGGAGTAGATTAGCGTATAGAGGGACTAATGAGAGTGCAATGGGACATGCAACGTAGTTCAGCGCGAAATTCCATTGGAGGACGCACCGTCCTTGGAGGCAAAGCGCATCTGGTTGGTCATCGAGCCTCAGAGGACTGGAAGGGCCCGGTCTCCGCGAAGTAGCGCAGCGATTCTGTGAGGATGGAGACGACGGTAAATGCAATCTGAAATGAGGGGAATCCTGTCGGCCTCCAGGCTCTCCCATTCGGCTCATAAATGAGTCCGAAATGCCGGTCGGCTATCGATCACCTGCTATATTACCCCGCACTGAGACGGGGCAATTGACCGTTCGGCTTCTCTTCTCCACATCATGTCGGTCGCGCACAGAAACAGTATCTTGCGGCTCATCAACGTCGCCCAGCGCACATCTTGCCCTTGCCACGGCTGTAGCAGCGGTCATAGCCATGCCAGCCCCCACGCTATGAGCCAGCTGCGACGGCTCGCGACTCCAGTGAACCACGTTGAGAAGGAATATGCTTTCGAGGTATGCCCTCAATCTCAGCGACAAATGCAGTGCTTGACACCATCCAGGTTGCCGCGTCAAATCTGCGGTTTGGCGACGGCGTCACGCGTGAGGTCGGTATGGATTTGAAGAACATGAAGGCGACCAAGGTGCGCCGCACTTTCTGCGGCGCGAATTTTCACTCAAGCATTGCAGGTTGGCGTGTTCACTGACCCAATCGTGGCCAAGTTGCGCCCGATGCAGGCCGTATGTCGACTGGCAGCACGGCTTCAAACGTTCGCTCACCTTTGTCTAGACGCTGGAATCCTTGGAATCGGAAGTGGATCTACCTTACGAAGTATACGACAAGGTTGTTGCGGAACCGACAGAGGACAGCTGGCGCGAGGCTATTGCTTGGGCGCGCAAGCACGACATTAGCCATTTTGTCGCGTCTGTTACACCCGTTTATAATTCCGGCCCAAACTGACAAGTTCTCAGTGTCGGCGGCGGCAGTGTCATTGACACGGCAAAGGCAGCAAACTTGTGAGCAAACAACAGACGCCCATCTATTCCAATTTCTCACATTGACCAGGTTCACTGTCTACAAGGATGCGGACCTTATGGACTACATCAACGCCCCCGTGGGGAAGGGTCTCCCCATCTCTGAGAAGCTCCGGCCGCTCATTGCCATCCCCACTACCGCCGGGACAGGTTCCGAAACGACTGGGGCTGCCATTGTTGACATCACGTCGAAATCGTTTAAGACTGGCATTGCCAACCGTGCACTTAAGCCCGTGCTGGGCATAGTGGTGCGCAACCCTGCTACCTGCAAATAAGCATTTCTCATATTCTGTGCAGGATGTGATGAACACGGAGACTTGCCCTAGAGAGCTGCAAATCAGTGCTGGTCTCGATGTTCTCTTCCACAGCATGGAAAGTTTCACTGCCATTCCTTATTATGAACGCACACCGCGCCCAGCCAACCCTATCCTCCGACCTGCATATCAAGGGAGCAACCCAGTGGCCGACATCTTCTCGCTGTGGGCCCTGAGGACAACAGTAACGAACTTACCGCGAGTAGCCAAGGACCCCACGAACGAGGATGCTCGCAGGCAAATGCTGCTTGCCTCATCGTTCGCCGGTATTGGATTCGGAAATGCGGGTGTTCATCTTTGTCACGGCATGAGCTATCCCGTGCGTTGTGGTCGCGTTGGCTGGATATGCACTGACCATTTTGAAGATATCGGGGCTCAACAAGGCAGGTCCCAAGTACAAGCATCCTGGCTACAATGTCGACCATCCTATCATTCCTCATGGCGTTAGGTACGTCTACCTCCCATTGTTTGTTCACCTTTTCCAACGCGAGTAGTGTTGCACTCACAGGGCCTGCTGTCTTTGAGTTCACCGCGCCGTCTTCACCTTACCGCCATCGCCAAGCGCTCGCAATCTTCACCGGTACAACCGAGCTCGACCCGTCTATTACTGCTATCCCAGATTCGGATATCGGTCTACACCTCTATGAAGCCATCGCTCGTTTCCTCGACGGACTGGGCGTTCCGCGCGGGCTGAACGCCGTTGGATATACTTCGTCGGACGTGGAGATGCTGGTCAACGGTGCGCTGCCACAGAGACGTGTGCTGGATCTTGCGCCCGGTATTGGGGATTTTGCTGGCGAGGACGGCAGAGAGCACTTGACCAGGATGATTGAGAGGTCCATGTCATACTAGCTGGTACAACTGAATCTGCACGTTCCGATAGATGGATTTGCATAATCACATTGACGCGTTGACTGCGGTGCCTGTACACTCAGAATTTGCAGTATACATTATACTGTATAATATTGGAAGGTCGAGGTGAAGATCATGTGACCGCGCGGCCCGGAAATAAGGCATTGTCCCAATTAGCAGGCGAGATGGCCGAGCGGTCTAAGGCGCCAGACTAAGTAAGGATCAGCTTGCTCGGCAAGCGTCTCATCTGGTCCGAAAGGGCGTGGGTTCGAATCCCACTCTCGTCACTTTTGAACATTTTCAATGATGGTTTCAGCGGTCCTGATAAGGGTTTACTATTTTGGAGCGAGCTCTGAACAGAATGCCTACTACTATTACAGCGCATGATTTTCTGATGTCAGAAGTGGATAATTGATTCCTGTTCTGTATCCTGGTTAGGTTAGGTTACCTGGGAAGCATACTTCACAATGGTCGCAAAACTGAGAAATCATCCAGTATTTCCTTGAATTAACCAGAACATAGGGATACAACATTGCGAGCTACGCCGAGCCAGCATAAATACAGTCAAGCAAAGTACACAAACGTGAGGAAAACTGCAGTCTGCGATTTATAGATAACGGAAGACTCCTTTTAAGCCCTGAGCTGTGGCCTTGTCTTGTTCAATGTTGCAAAGCTGCTCGGGAACAGCGGGCCGGACCTCTCCTCGCTCGGCGACATGGGAAATGAGCCAAGGCTCATGGTGGAGAAGGATGAAATCGAGCTAGGGCGCGAGCGCCGGCCCGAGAGGACAGGACTTTGTCCGGGACTGCCGTGGCGAAGGGGGCTACTTCCAAAGCTTGGACGCCCTTCCCAGCTTGAGCGGCGGTTGTGTGCAGGAGGCACGGGCATTGGACGACTAGGCGCAGTCCTCGGTGAAGAAGGAGAAGTGCTGATCGTGAGACCCTGGATATGGCCACCCGGCGACATAGATTGTTCGACGGCGGGCGTGTTGGCCGTGAGCGTTGCCGCAGACTCCTCTTCCTCTCGGATGCCATCGAGTGGATTGATGCTGGGAGACGGCGCAGCCTGGAAGAAGGGGCTTCCGGCCGGCGAAGAAGTGATGGGTTCTATGATGAGCGGTGAAGTCAGGTCACCACCCATTGGAGGAGGCAAGGGTGAGAGCCGCTCGAGAATGGGAGAATGACGTGCGGCCGCCAAACTGGAGGGAGAATCGATGGAGGCCGAGTCCCAGTCGTCCCATGGCCCCTTGACGCCGCCAATGCGAGGACCATCCTCGACGTCGGAGGTGTTGATCTGGGTCGAGTCGTCATCTGACCAGAGGATCCCATCGTGGTCAAGCTCTGGAGGGACGCCAAGAGCACCCTTGATGCGCTCCCAGATGAGTTCTGAGCGGGCAAGAACACAGGCGCGCAGCTGGCGAACCCATAGCGCGTCGGGAACCGTGTCGCGGTCTGGGCCAGTGAGCCATTGGATGACGGTGTCGAACGACCACGTGGTAGGATCTTGGTCGATCCCCCCGCACGCATCGTTGGGGAAAGTTTTGCGGAGAAGTGCGAACAGCTTCGAGGTCGGGGCAGACGCGATCAGCGCTTGAACCTCCGATGGACGTTCAATGAATGGGAGGAAAACATCATCAGCAAGCTCAGTAAATGTCGGGCTGAGCGGCGGGGACGTTATCGTCGGTGGACGGGCCATCTGGCATAGCTCCTCGGGGCTGTAGTTGTTGTGCGAGTGGGTGATCGACTGGCGGCGTCCGGGGCTGCTTGAGCGCAGAGAATCCTTTTTATCCTTGAACGAAGACGCAAAGCTGAAGCGTGATGCAGGCGGTTGCTTGAGTTGGATGCTCTTGGCCGGTGCACCGTCAACGCGCATGATAGACAGCCGCGAAGTACCGTCTGATTCGCCGTTGTGGCGGCCCCATGGATCGTGCGCAGACTGCGAGCCGCGACGATGAGAGAGGCGGCGGGTAGAAGTAGTAGTAGAGGGCATCGTCGGCGATGATGATGGCATGAGGACAAGGGGGAGTCTGGCTTTAATCTGGAATCTTCGCGGCCAATAAGTACTTAGCCCCAGTTACGTCATGGTGCGACATAGGATTGCCTCCGTACAGCGATCGTTGTTCCATCACGCAGCATCTCTGAATTTGAATTTGTCCCTCGCTGCAAAATGGCTCATCTGTGATGCCAGCGTCGACTGCAGCTGCGCCACATTCCTATTAGTCTGTTTCCTCCAACGGACGTTCCTCGGTCACCCGGTCCTTGCCCACCCTCTTCTCACCCAATCCAGCGAGAGGGGCCAGACCCGGGTACGCCAATCGCGGTGCGAGTCTCAGATGATTCTGGCAATCTGCGAAATCAGACAGCCAGCCCACTTTCAACTCTGCACACTAAACGGTAGCCACCCCGTAGTCTCAGCGGTGCAACGCAAGCATGAACAGAGACAAGAAAAAGTAATGGGTTTGCTCTCTCGACGCCGCAGCGTTGGAGGCCTTCCAAGCATTTCACACAACTCCCAAGAGACCCAGGAGCTCCATCAGTGGCTTGTAGTCGCACCCTCGATCTCTCTTGGGCTATTCACTCAGCTTCTTTCTCTTTATGTGTATGTACAGCCTTCCGCATCTCCCAAGAACACCTGTCCTCGTCAGTGACCTCGTCGGTGGCACGACATAGATGTGGCGCCACCATTCACATCCATCCACATCCCATGCCCTCTTGCATCCCCCTACCATGCATATACCAAGCTGCTTCTCTCGATGCATCACGTCCTGAACCTGGAAATGCATGTGGAAAGTCACGCGGGCGTGGGAAATGAAGTTAGAAGTAGATATCCATGAATTCCCCGAGAGGCAGCAGCGTCGAGGGCGCGCCACTATGTGCCCGCCGCGGAAATGAACCACTAGACGCTCACCATCGCAACGGCATACTTTGCCCTGCGTTTGTGAGTAGATCAGACCAGGGCTAAGTAGAACACACTTGAAATGAGATATCTTGGCTCAAAGCCGTCGACATGCTGCGCGCTAGTGGCATCGAGGCGGCTCAGTATGCACGCTCTTAAAATTAGTATACTGTTTTAAAGCCGTTATTAAATCGTTATGGTTGACGCAGACGATAGAATTGGGAAGGTGCGACTTTTGAGTTGGGATGCGACGTACGAGCGCGCGCGATTCAGTTCCGGCCGAGCGCGCGCTCAACGTGCTGCTGGCACGAACAAGACGCGCGCTTGAGATTCGCCAGCGTTGCAGTGGGCGGTCGCAGCAGTACAAGTACACAGGGTCAACTTACCCCATGGGGACACCCCATATCGTCAAGAAGCCGACGCTTAGGTAATCGGGCCATTGTTCCAGATCAATAGCGCTTGTGCAAAGTGGTGGTACGCAGTACCCCGCCACAAGACCACTGAATGAGTATGGGCGAGAGCTTGAAGCTCAGATATAAATGCCTCTGTTTGGGCAAAGTGGCACATTGGATTATCAGAAATTGAAGGAAAACTGAAAGCTCTTCCACTGGCAGTCTACCGTCGCCGCCACAATACTCATAAGTGCGCAAATGGTCTGGTTTTTTGGATAACGATGAAGGACAACGACCTCATAACAAAGACCTAAATGATCCGGTGTTACATGGCTATAGGTGAGGACCCATGACACCAGTGGTACAATTTTCCCTTTGCTGGAGACTCAGAGCCTGGATCGAAGCAATCAGAGCTATCCTTCTCTATGAAAGGTCATGTTCGATGATTAGCAAAGTCAAAATTCAGTGTTGTTGCTGGTCAATGGGCCTGAACACACTGTTAGCTCGTGCCACTGAACGCTGCCAGTGGTCGCCTGACGGTCGAGCAATAAAACGATCCGGCGGGTAGTTATTTTTTATCCTCGCAAATCAGCGGACTACCCGAGTACGCGAGCCGTTGAAATATCTGCGGTCTTCATGAGGACAGAGACCCATATTTCCTTGAGACAAGCTCACTGTCAATGACTTAGACTGAGATACGTGATACGGGCTTCATCTAAAGTAGTAACAGTGCAACGTTGTGGGTGCGCAAAACCGCGTGACCGTATGTAAGCTTACCTCAGATTCTCAAGAAGGCATCGTCAGTGCCATTGTGCGGCGCCACATTACGTCACCCGATCAAGCTTTCAAAACTGTGCAGTTGATGTAATCAGTTCCCACGGTCTTTAGACGGAAAGCAGAGATCAGTGGGAAGGCGTCGAGCATACATCATTCGTCAAGATGGTACGCCGTCGCGCTGCCCGCCCTCATCATATGATGGCTTACATTTCCTCAGTCCAAACGCACGAAGAAGGTCGGCATCACCGGTAAATACGGCACAGTGAGTTGGAATTTCGAGGACGGCGGATGATGGGAATGCTAAGCCTCGGTGCTAGCGTTACGGTGCCTCCCTGCGTAAGCAGGTCAAAAAGATGGAGATTTCGCAACACGCCCGGTATACCTGCACTTTCTGTGGCAAGGTGCGTTATAATTGCGCGGCGCGAAAAGCATCGCCCACAACTTGGTTTTCAGGACACCGTAAAGAGGACTGCTGTCGGCATCTGGAAGTGCTCTGGCTGCCGCAAGGTGATTGCTGGTGGCGCGTGGACTGTGTCTACAACTGCGGCCGCGACCGTGCGGAGGTGCGTTATTGTCCAGTCGGACAGAAATTTTCCTGACCACTTTCCAGTACTATGCGTCGTCTGCGCGAGATCACCGAAGCATAGATATTGCCTGTGTTTTCCGCTTCGACTTTTTTCTCCTTGCACTGTATGCGTATGACCATGAACCCAATTCATGCACGCCCCCACCAATTGTAGCATAATGTGTGACCACTGGAATATTTTGTGTGAATGTCCCCAATCCCTCCCACATCAAGGCAATGTTGAGATTGGTATCTGTCTGGATAGTATCATCAGGTTGCGCGGATTTTCTTCACTATCCCTACTCAAGCCATTCTGGTTGCCAAGTTGCTCCCGACAGCGAAGAGAAAGCGTGATGTTTATATTCTCATTGCAGTACGCTGCTCGCGCATCGCCGCAACTATCTCAATGCGCAAACGGTGGATTAAGGGAGTGATGGCGCATCAGACTTGCATTATTACATGTGATCTGCATGATCGCTGCCAACTGCTTTCGACCACGACAAGGATGCAGTAGCATGTCAACGCCTGTGCAATACCACCCGCTTTCGCTGGACGAAACGCCGCCGTCGCGTTCCTCCCGTTCGACCCGTCGTCTTCGTGATTCAGAGCCGCGGCAAGACGGTAGCAGCTTAAGCAGCCCTGTCAGTTCGGAGCCTGG